GATAGATAGATAGATAGATAGATAGATAGATAGATAGATAGATAGATGATAGAGAGACAGACAGATAGATATTGCATAGCTTTAAACTTGATTGAGAAGAGATGCTGTACAGATAGTCCTCGACTGAAAACCACAATGGGATCACAGCATATGCCATTAAGCAACATGGCTGTTAAGTTGAGTTGTGCCCAATTTTATGACCTTTTTTGCTATATTTTTAAGGAAATCATAAGGTTATTAAGCAAATCCAGCTTTCCCCATTGACTTTGTGTGTTGGAACCCCCACCCCCTTTGAGAATGTTGCAAATGCACCCACATAACCCTGAGACACTGCAATTGCCATACATACATTCCAGTTGCCAAGCTTTTTGGTCATGTGATTATGGGAACACCATTGTTAAACAAATGGTAATAAGTCAAGGACTACCTGTAATTCAGGCTTCCGACTATTCTGAAGTATCTTGATGCAACTGAACCTGAAGAAAATTTTCAGGCTGAGACTATCTACTATAAATTTCAAGAAATTTTTAATACAGTTCCAATTTGAAAGCATACAAATGCAAGTAGATGAATGGTACCACTTCAGTGGGAAGGAACCTTGGCATATAATCATTCTGGGTACATGACATGGAAGTGTTTTGGACAAAGCTGGTTCCCTCAGCTAGGAAATAGAGATAAGTACTGCTCCTTAGAGTTGGACATGACTGGACAGTGGAAAGCTTCACCTTTTGTCTTTAATTTATTTCATCTAATAGGAATTCTAAAAGCATGACTGCAAGCCCAGTAAGATCTTATACACCTTGCTCTTGTGCACTAATAATAATAGTACAGATATGAGCACATAAACCCTTTGTTTCTCTGGTCTCTGTGTTGCCCACTAACCACAACACTGGTGGTCATAATTTCTATATTAATTTCTTTTTCAAAGTTATAGTCTTCCAAGAATAATATTTTGAACTGTTTTCATCTTCATTTGGTAAGATTGGTAATTAAGACTTGGGTACAGTACCTTGGCTTTGTCTCTCATCGAACCTTTACCAAGGATAGACATTTTTGCACCTGTTTCCTCTTGTAATCTTTTTAAGGAATTTCCTCTTGGACCAAGGAGTTTGCCCACAAAATTAAACTAGAAAATAAAGAGAAAAGAAGGGATAAATATTAGAAAATATTTTCTTTTTGAAGTGCAGCAGTAGAGAAATCCTGACCAAGAAGAGAAGATCCAGAAATATCATTTCTCTGCAATCCCAAATCAACTGTATTTTCTTTATTCACCTCATAGCTATCCTACTTCATTGTAATGATTCTTGACTGTCTACACAGTATAAAAAAATAATTAAAGCATTCACTGTAAATCACAAAATCTTGCACAATATAATGATACAATAAAACAAAATAAGAGGAAAATTTAAATGAAAGATGGCAGTCCATCAACTCAATAGAATGCTCTCTAAAATAGCTCATTTTTGAACATCCTCCGGAATAATGCTGGGGAGGGGACTAATCTGATCTCTGCTTGAAGGCTGCTGCCTCCTCATCGCCCAGAACTATAGTTAATCCAAGGAGTTTCTTTCTAGATCATCCAGTTGGCCAATTCTATACGTATGCAAAGTGGCAAGGAGGAGCTTAATCTTTCCTTAATAATATCTGGACATGTTTATAACTTTCCAAATTATTTTCAAAGCCATTCACAAGTAAATTAACAAGCATACCACTTTTATTTATATTACCAACTAATAGATATATCTACAAATTTCTTAATATATAAAAAAACCTTTCTCTTATGTTTGTTACCTCAACATATTTAAGTTAGTTAATGAAACATGAATGTGGTGATCATATCCAACAATACGATATCAATAGCACATGTCTATCTGTCTATCTATTATCTATCTGTCAATTTATCATATCCAACAATATATCAATAGCACATGTCTGTCTGCCTATCTCTGTCTGTCTGTCTGTCTATCTATGTCATCTATCTATCTGTCAATCTATCATATCCAACAATATGATATCAATAGCCCATGCCTGCCTGTCTGTCGTCTACCTACCTACCTACCTACTGTACCATTTACACAGGGGAGTTCAACTATCTACATTGCACACATCAGCTTTGGCCTTGAGCATCTCTGCAGCAGAGTGCAGGCAGTCCTCAACTTACAACAGTTCATTTAGTGACCTTCAAAGTTTCATCAGCACTGAAAAAAAGTGACTCATGACTCTTTTTCACAGATACAACCTTTGCAGTATCACCACGATCATGTGATCAAAATTAAGATGCTTGGCAACTGGTTCATGCTTATGACCGTCACGGTGTCCTGGGTTGTGTGATCCCCTTTTGTGACCTTCTGACCAGCAAAGTCAGTGGGGAAGCCAGATTCACTTAACAACTCAGTTATTAACTTATCAACTGCAGTAATTCAACTGAGGCAAGAAAGGTCAATACAACAGGGCAAAATTCATTTAGCAAATATCTCCCTTAACAACAGAAATGTTCGGCTCCACTGTGGTCATCAGTCAAGGACTGCCTGTATGCTGCTTTAGTGTAGGATCCACCTGCACACGTGAAACAAGTTGATATCACCATCAGTGAAGCAGTATGCTTAGTGACAGATTGTCTCAAATCTACACCAATTGAGAAAATACATCCTGTCACTGGCATTGCCCCCACTAAGGTCAGGAGAGAAATAGTAGCAGATGCCAAGAGAATTTAAGCAAGGGGATGTTCCTCAACATCCTCTGAATGGACATAGGCCCCAAGCCTGCCGACTCAGATCTAGGAACAGCTTTAGGGCAAGAACAAACATTCTTGAGGGTACACCTGAACAAAATAGAATTAAAAGATGGAGGAAGGAAACCATTAAGCAGGGAATAACACTATAGGAGGATATGGCTGAAAGATCTGGCCTCCCTTATACACTTGGAGGTGAATAAGTGGAGAGTTGGAATGCCTAAACAGAGGCTCTTAGCAGATAACAACACACTATGTAAATGTGGTGAGATACAGAGCCTGGCTCATCTACTGGTATGTCAGCTACTACCAGAAATATATGCCGATAATTATTTGTTTTTGGCCAACAACAAAGCCAAGAAGGCGGCTTCATTCTAGCAAATTAAAGTTTGATCCAAACACGGAAGAAGAAGAATCTATTATCTATCTATGAGATCAATTTATTTTCCCAAAAAATTAAATAGTGCATTGCAGTAATTATGCCAGTCTTTCATGAGTCATTCACTGGAAATAACCAGTGAAATAATCAAAATCCAGATTTCCTTTCAACAGCAGTTTTAAAGAAGTCAAAGAAACCATCAAATGTCATTTCTGTAAATTGATTTGCCATTCTCTATTTACTGAGACAGCTTGAGCTGAACCATCTCCATTTCTGTGCTGAAGTCACCATTTCCATCATTTCCAGTCAGCGAGGCCAATCAGAGAGGGACAGAATATCAAGATTAGCAAACCATCAAGACCTACCATGGCCCATTGCAGGCAACTCCTACCATACCTTCCCTACAAAAGAGATGGCTATCCAGGCCACAGAAATCTAGCATTTCCTGAAGCAATTTGTGGAACAGTTGAACAATTATTACCATTAGTTAGTTTTGCTTGATATTCAACCAAAACCTACTTTGTTTTAATTTAAGCCCATTCTTTACGTTGTGATTTATAGCAACTTCAGGAGGGACATCAATTCCCCCCACTCCTAGCATAAATAAAACCGTAAATATCCATATGACAGGTCATGAATTACTGCTTCACAACAATCAGTTCTTTCTCTTCTGCTCACCTGCCAAAAGCTGCCAGGGAATTTTTTACTGATTGACATTCGACTTGCAGGGCTCGTACTGTGCTAAAGGAAATTCAAATTCTCCCCAAGATCTTCGGGCTACAGAAGGAATCAATAGCCCCCTCTTCTCTTCTCTCAGGTAGCTGAGAATTTCAGTCTCTCTGTTTTTGGTATGAATATCACCTAAATTCAAATATTTCTTCATAAACTACAGGTAGTCCTTGACTTAGAGCAGTTCCAGAGGTGGGTATTCAGCAGGTTCTGACCAGTTCTGGAGAACTGCTAGCAGAAATTTTGAGTAGTTCGGAGAACCAGCAAATACCACCTCTGACTGGAAATTTTACAGTATCCTTTCCCTGCCACGCCCACAGAGCTGGTAGTAAAAAAAAAAATGAATTCCACCACTGAGCAGTTCATTTAGTGACCATTTAAAGTTACAATGGCACTGAAAAAAGTGACTTATGACCATTTTTTCACACTGAGGGCCATTGCAGCATCCCCATGGTCATGTGGCCAAAATTTAGCTGCTTGGCAACTGGCATGTATTTATGACAGCTGGGGTGTCCCACAAGTCACGTGATTCCTTTTACGACCTCCTGACAAACAAAGTCAATGGTAGAAGCCAGATTCACTTAACAGCCATGTTGCTAACTTCACTACTACAGTGACTCACTCAACCAATTTGGCAAGAAAGATTGTAATATGGGGCAAAAATCATTTAGCAACTGTCTCACTTAGAAACAATGGTTCAATTGTGGTTATAAGTCGAGGACTACTTTTAGTGTGAAATAATGTGTGCTTTTTAAAAGAATCAGTTGTAGGAGAACGTAAAAAAATGTTCATCTTCATTTCAATGCTGTACAGCTAATTGAAATTTTTTTTTAAAAAAAATCAGCAAAGTTTCATGAGCCATTTCCGTTCATTCGCATATTTTCCAATGTAATATTTCTCCAATGTAAATTCTACTTCCATAGAAGCTTTCTTCAAAAGAATTGTTCCACCAAAATTTGGGGGGTGTTTATTATTTTTATAATGCAGGCATCAATCACACTGTAGTGATGTAATATTAAGAAAGAAAGAAACCAGCCCCATTTAATTTTAAGCCAATGTGGAAATGGTTATAATGCAAAGTCTATCAATGGTTTTATGAAACATTTTTAATTACCTGATCAGCTTGTATTATGCATTATATATAACCTGGATGACACTCAAACTGGAAGAAACTTAATTATTTCAAAAACTGTATATCAAAATCTAATTATAGGATGCACTATAACTCATTGGAATTTTGTTATCATTAATAGCAATTATAATTAAGGCACTACTTACATAGTGATTTGCATGCTTGTAACGCAATGCAAACATTAATTATCTTATTCAAGTCAGACCTATATTCAAAAGAAACTACTTATTTTAATTTTACTGATATGCTCTTGCTCATTAGCATATCTTTAAAGAGGCCATATTCACTTGCAAACAGCTCTGTTTCAACAGAGATAGCTTAAAAACTTACAATTTCCCCAAAACTGTGTGAGGAAATGGGTTGAAAGTCCTTGCGTTCCTTTCCAACATTACAATTATTAGAAGTGGGAATAAGTCTTGCGTCTCAGAAGGCTTACACGTCAGCTATCTCAATTAATCAAGCATTCCTCAAAGAAACATGTTCCTCTTTGATATTCAGGAGTCACATGATCCAGAGTAATTACTTTCTTCGAGGGCCATTGCCTGATCTGCAACTATAGATCCTGTAGAATACAGTGAGAAGTATAATAACAGAAATATAATAATAATAATAGTAAGCAAACAAAGATAATACTAATAGGCATCTTGAGTACAATGCCAAAATAACTGAAGCACCAGATGAACACCATCGACTATCAGTCAATCGCAAAAGGCAGTTTTACTTTACAGCTTACATCCTTTCTCCATCAAACAACAACATCTGCCCATCCCACCTTCTTGGGAAGGATTCGATAGGTGAGTAAAAATGCCAAATCCAGTCTAAACATCTGTGTGACTGTGTGACCAACCCTAATATCGTAATAATAAATGATAAGGATTGTGTTGCACCGATTATGTTTAGCTTTGAATTCAGTATGGATAGTTGAGTTTTGTTCTACAATGTTATCAATTCCTGATGATGCACTGGAATATATTATTTTTATATGTTAGATCCACATCTTCAAACCTGTTGTTCAAAAGAATGATTTACCAGGTGGGGTTTTTCTGCCTCTCTGGAAGAGAGAGAGAAATGGAGACCATGACACCGTAGAAAAGATAGGATCAAAATACAACTTCCACATTAACTCATATCATGTTAAGTTCACATAATGTGCTG